AGACGAAAAAATTAAACAACCCCCCCCCCCCGAGACATGCCTTCGAAGGACCACGAGGCATGCTGATCAACGAAGACGGAGGAGGACAACGGGAGGATTGCAGTGCATGGGGCGTCAATGGGGGGAGAAGACGCTGCAAGCGGCGAAGGGCAGTCAGTAAGTTCCCCGGGCAATGTCGTGAACCGCAGGGTTCCCTATTCTACCTCTCCCGTATAGCATTCCCTATCTCAAGCAGTGCTTGGTACATGAGCTTGCTCACGTCGTCTGAAGCCGAGTAGAGCTTTCTTTGCACTTCCACCTCCGCGTCCATGGCTTCGCATTGTCGAATTTGAATGGAACACTGCCTCTTGCTAGCGCTCTCCATTGTCGGCGCCATTAGCGTCCCGTGCTTCTCCATGCATTCCGTAAGAGCTTCGAAAGTTTGTTGCTTAATGTTCTTCCTCTTCCCGAAACCGCCACTGCTGCCCGTCGTTGGTGAAGACCCTTTCGTTGAGCTGTCCTCTTCGTCATTGTCGTCGCCACTCGCGTCCCCACCGCCGACAGATTTAGGGCTGCCTGCAAACCCGGATGGCAGCTGCGCACCACCGGAACCGCCTGTATCGGCTACATTCTTCGGGTCTATGGTGTGACTCTTTGCGGTGGAACCCTTGATCTCCTCATACACAGCTCGATCCATGGTGAAATTGAAGCCACGAGCAGACATCTCCCTCCCCGTCAATTGAAAGAAGTCCTGCTTCCCGGACTCCCCCGGAACAAGTGCACCTTCTTGAACTGTTGCTGATAGTTGTCCCATTTATTCCCACACTTGTCGGCTGTCCTCTCCATGCCAACCTTCTTCAGCCTCCATCCCAGTGCCACGGTACGTGACCGTGCTTCCTCCTCATCATCATCTGACATGTCTGGCAGGGGTTGTTCGTGTGGTGGCAAGTGCGCGTATGCAGACGGATCGTACCGTGGCACTGCAGAGCATGTCGGGACGCTGCGCGCCCCGTGGTTTGCTACTCAGTCCATTGGAGTCCTGTTCTTCGCCTGCCTCCCTTCCATGATGACGCCCTTCGTCGAGGAACGCCTCTTGCGCGTGCATCCAGGCAGCCTACCGAGGATGCACACGTGGAAGACGACGACAAGGACAAGTGTGACCAACACCAGGAACAGCAGCGGTAGTCTTCGGAGGACGTCAGCCATGAACGACATGTGGGAAAGGGCAGTAACTACAGGACCCCGGTACGGCTGCAGCAAACGGCGACGGTGCGACGGCAGGAAATGACGACGAGAAGAGGGCAGCAAACGGCAGACTGTACAGTTCTGACTGGCGTCGTGTAACTGGGAATAGAAAGTTCGCCAGCCTCAAATATTCGAATTTTCCGTCTGTTGGGCCGCTTTCCGTTTGGCGCCACGCACTGCGAGGGAGAACGGCCGTAGACGACGTGTGTGGGAGTCAGCAGGCCACCAACGGTTGCCATTGGGGTACGGTTCCTGGAGGCCGAACGTTGAAGACCGATGATGTTCGTGCACCGCCTGGTGGGAACTCCAATGGACCAGCCGACCAAATTTTTTTGCTGACGACGGGTGCCCTCACCGCTCCGTTTATCGCGGATCCTTCGCCCCCAAGGGACCTCGGGAGGTACCTTGGGGGAAACCGCAAAATGCCTGTGGCCCGAGGATTCCCCGAGGACGGCCCGAGGAAATGTTTTCACTTTTTTTTTCGTTTTCTTTCCCCGAGGATAGGTGGAACGAATATTTCCTCGTGGATTTTACGCCCCAGAGGAGTGTCTAACGAGCCCCTAAAGCTGGGTTGCATACATTCACAATTTTCCTAGGTTTGACACAACATTCACAAAGTAGTGACTGAAATACACATTTTCAAACTGAAACCGTGACAGCGCCCTAGTTTTCGCTTTTTTTTTTTAACCCTTCTTTTTACCTGAAAAGTGGTCACGATTAGTTGACAGGTGAGTCAGGTTGAACCTGTAATGCGTCCTCACACTGCTCAACGCGAGCGAGGACTTCCTAGATTGGATCTGGACAGAGACGGGGGTCTGATACGCCCAGGGAAAACAGCCTCCGGGTGAGTGATCCAGAGATAAGGGAGTAATGCAGATGCATTGCGAGCATTGAAATCACCGCTGGCTGATTCTGCTTTTTTCCATGGAGAGGATATAAGGATGTATAAGGGGGAGGCAGGAAGGGGAGACTCAGTGCGGAGTGTGAGAAGAGGAAGCCAGGTGGGGAAAGTGGGGGAGGGATTGCGCTGTGCATGCTCGAAAGTGGCGTTGGCAAATCTACGACAGATGATATGCTGCAAACATCTATGACACTCTGAGTAGTTCACCTCTTTCTTTTTCTTCTTCTTCTTCTTTTTTTCTTTTTTCTTTTTCTTCTTTTTTTTTTTTCCTTCTTCTTCTTCTTCTTTTTCTTCTTCTTCTTCTTTTTCTTTCTCTTTTTCTTTTTCTTCATATTCCCAAAACTCTTTGGGAGGGGGAATCATCATGGCTTGTAGGCCTGAACATCCTGCCTTGGATCTGGGTATCATGCCTGCGTACAGGATGCAAAGGCGAAGCCGTGACTTCTTTTTGTCAGGATCTGACTGATGGGCCTCTGTTCCGTCAGCACGCAACTCAGTCTGGAAGACTTTTGACGAAGGACATGTGGCACGTTATAGATTTTTTTTTTTTTTTTTTAATGGCGCGGTACAGATGTACAGGTGGTAACTTTGAAAAGACCCTTCACACTACCGTCTTCCCCCGAACACAACGCACCCACATTTTGACTGTATCGGGCCGGAAATATATCTTGTATACGCTCATTTTCAGGGTGCGTTACGTTCGGGGGAAGACGGTAGCACTGTCCTAAATGTATCCCTGGGCCAGTGCAATTATGGCTGGACGTGGACGCATCTGACAGAATTCACGGCCAGAGCACAGTCGACAAAGTCCGTGGCCGTGGTCCCATTAGCAAAGAGCATCGGATTGAATGCCTGAATCTGGACGTGTTCGAGGACGGGAGCAGGAAATCGAGATCGAACTGCTTTTCTGTATCTCTGCATACAACATGGCCAGATTCAGGATTTCTATCCGATCCTCTTTGCTAGTGGGACCACGCCCCGTGTGTGAGTCCGCCCAGAGCGGAAAGGAAACTAACAGTAACAATTTGAATTTTGACGGCAAGGAACCTCCAGTAAAAATTTGAATTTTGACGGCAAAATTTAGCGCAACGTAGGTAGACAAGAACTAGCTTTTTTTTTATACCTAAAGGCTAAAAGGCCTATTGGGTGAGATCGCTCTTATGACTCGTATGACTCTGGCCTCTCGGTTGATGCCGCAGTTGAATGGAATAATTTATTAATTAATTTATGGCCAGAAACTTCAGAAAGCAATGACTGTGGGGGTACTAAGGTAGTTGTCCGAAAAAAAAAAAAAAAAAAAAAAAAAGGTAGTTCCCAACACCAGAGTGCAAGGGTGGAGCCATGGCCAGACCTGTGCATCCCATTCAATACTCTGGAGTCCGGAGATTGTGAGAATCTGTGAGGATGATGCAGACCTTTTCCATACTGATGTCACTGGCTAATTACTGTCATCCCCCCCCATCATAATGCACCCTCATCACACACAGTATTTGACCAGAAAGATAGCTTGTATACATTCACAATCAAGGTGTGCATTGTGTTCAGGAGAAGGTGGTAGTAGTCAGCAACGCAAGACGGCATCAAGGTTCACGTGAAGGGATTGCAGCTGAGGGTACCAAACTCATCAAATTAATTTCACGGCGATGCAATCGAATGATATTATAATGATATAATGATCTTGATGTGAAGTTCGAACTGCAGTATAATTAGGTGGTCAAAAAAAAAAAGAAAAAAAAAGGTGGGCAGTCATAAGGGGGGGTCATATCTCATTCAATTTCAAATTGGGTGAAGGACAGAAATAGCCCCCGCTGGCCCCCTTCATGTCTCAATTGAAAGGACTAAATTGCCCTCCTTCTAATGCACCTGGTCCTCTGCAAATCCATATGCACGTCATGCACTTGGCCATCTGCACGTCCAGGAACCTCTCTCTTCCATTTAACTCAGAGTTGTGCTTTCCGGCCAGTCCGTGGCTCCTCTGGGAAAACCCCAAGTCTTCAGATCTGCCTCCTTGACTGCTGACTCTGCTGAGGCTCCAGCTATTTATTGGTGGCGATCTTCATCTACTGGCAACGGCAGTAAACGTCCCATTTCCCATTTCCCATTTAACTGCCAGTACACGGCCCCAGCCTTGCAGAAAAAGCAACTCATCGCCACGAGACTGTAGCTGCAATGGCTCAGCCCACAGGAGCACAATGCCTGGTGGTGCCACCCGTAAAAACAAAAAGGGGCATTGAAGTACTTTCAAGTCACACCTTATCTTCAGAAAACCGCCGATCAGATTTATCAATGGCAGTCGTCGTCGGGCCCGACCTCCGAATCTTCAGGAGTTTGGGAAAACTGCCACTTTTCCCTATTTTCCAAACACTGGCGGAGG